GCGCAAAAACCTTTTTTCCTCAACAGAACGTTCATCCATTAGAAATTTGGAAGTGTGTTCCCAGAAAATTTATATATAGGTATAAGAAATTAGTTTAACAAATGAATATTCTCCGTATAACGACAAATATATACAGTTTAACTCGATGTTTTTCGTATCAAAAAATTCACAAAAATTACGTTGGTCACCATATTTTTAGAGTAAAAAACTTGGCTTGGGGCCAATTTTGAAAAAAATCCTTGCATCACTTACTTGGAGTTACAACACTCCAACAACTAATGTAACTCCGACACAATATACTAATAACGGTTAACAAATAACGACACTAAACAACAAGGTGTACAGTATTATTCATTTTTCCGGGAGGGTTATCTTATTTCACTTAGGTTTATAGTTTTATCTTGAACTATTTTCGCAAGTCAAATAAAATCAAATTGATAAATTAATAACGTAAAAAAATATTTCACAAAACAATATTTCATTCCAAAAATGATATTAAAATACTAAATTGAGTTAATTTCAAACAAATCAACTTTTGGCATGTCTAGTGGAAGACAGGCTTTTGGATGAAACTCACCATCATCAATCATTTATTATTGAAAAGCGCTTTCTATGATATACTGTCTCACATCACAAACATTCACACACACACACGCACCACACACACGCACAAACAAACACACACAAATGATGCTAGATATTCAAATATTTGTCGCAATAAATAAAAATTTTAACATCCAATCTACGGATCGAACTCTCGTTCGTTCGATGCCCGTCTAGGTATAAAAAAATGTTTCCGAGATAAAAAAAATTATTACATTATCGAATGCCTGAAACGGTCATTCTGAAACAACACTTGGATAAATTACTTTTTCACTGGTCTCTAAAAACTCCTGGAAGGCAAAATAAAAATTTTTGAAATGGAAAATTTTTCACGCAGGCCGATACGAAGAATGTTGTATTGAACAGTCTCGCTATCAAAATGTTCTCTACTGTCGGCGCGATCACATTGAATGAATGAAAGAATGAACACCGACTGAATGAAAGAGCTACGTGATCAAACAAACGTTCGAACGTTGGCCCAACATTGAGAATGCTGTTGTGATCATTCGTGCGAATACTATTGGGACGTTTCTAGTTGGGAAACTTGAGCTTTTTGCTGTTTCATGATTTGAAAGAACTTACATTTGAGAAGAAAATTTTCTTCGAATGTTTTTTTTATGTTTTTTTATGTTTTTAAATTTTTTTCCTTGAAAAATTTCAATTGAAATTCATTTTTCAATAAAAGTAAAATTTTTTACCCACTTTGAAATCAATTTAAAAAATTATTTTCATGTGATAATGCTTTATAGCACAAGTTGTATTCGAACCAGATCACAACGTAATTAATTGCTACATGGCACTTTAACCGCACAAGCTAACACACCTGCGATGTTAATTAATCTTTAGTAGTTTAAAAAAAAACTATTTTATTTTGTAGGTTCGCAAGCAGTAATTACTTGCTTTACAAGCGTAGAAAATTCATCTAAATTCAGAAATTGACTTGTAACGAGCGCTGAAATGAGCTCCCATGCACATTTGCACATCTGTCACGTAACATTCTCATTTGTCTCCTATTTACACTCACCATTCTAACTTTTCTATTATAATTTAAATGAAATCAAATAAGTAAGCAATACCAAAAGTTATACTAGAGAAGTTGAAATAAAATATTCAAACAGACAAATAAATTTGCTAGAAGAAGTATGGTCGCATTTCTAACATACCTACTGTACTGCTATAAAATTGACAGTTGCCAAGTTTTTGAATTAACACTACCGTTTTGTTTATCTCAAATTAATTGAAAGCTTTTTTGACTCACTTTTTAAAACAAAATTTTAAAATCATACCTGAATAAATAATCACATATTTATTTGCGATATATTCTGATGCTAAAACAATCTATTATTTAATCCCATTCATAACGATTAGCAAAAAGATATTGAATTCAAAATACTATGATTTAACGAAAATGTTCAAGTTTAAAACGTCAACCGTAGATTCGTACAGCCTTGACATCTAACGAATTTAAAATAATTAAAATAGTGAATGTGACTACGTATCTTAAGTACATTACGTATATTAAGTACCTTTGTATCTAAAGTAACTATATATCTTAAGTATCTTTGTATCATAAGTATCTATGTGTCATAAATACCTATGTATCATAAGTACCTAAGTATCTGAGTACCTATGTATCTCTTTGATGTTCACTTATGGTACTGGTTTTAGAAGTAATGTTTTTAAAAATAGTTCAGTAAAAGATAGTTTTTATAATGGAAAAATATAAATCATTAGTTAGACAGCTAATTGTTGTGACTGTGAATTTAATTTTGCGCCGGTTTGATTTTAACATTTCAAACACAAACAACTTTTTTAAACTCAATTTTTAAACGTTCGAATGTACAATATTATTTCAGACTGCCTATCCCGTGTTTACCTGCCAACAACATTCAACGCTGTTGACAAAACTCAGAAAAAATTATCACGAAAATGTTTTTTTTTGGTAAATATTGCTAAATAGAGACAACTTCCATAAACTGATATCAATTTGTCAAAGTCAGTACATTTAATTACTTAGCTATTTGTGTTATTGACTAATGAAAAGAGGTGATATTTTTAGGCCACAATTTTTTCAAGTTGAAGGCACATTGGATTTACAAATTTGTTAACAAAAAACTGTCTTAAAATCTGGCGAACACTTTTTTAACTCTGGAACTGAGAAAATATGTAGTAGGAATCAAAAAAACTTTTTCTTCAGCAGTTTTACGGACCTTTAGCACTGATAGGGTAATTTTACATCTTTGGTTTTGTTGCGTGTATTTTCATCACACACCACACAAACACACACACACTCACATTCATACAAACACATAATTTGCACACAAGTAAACACAAAAACACGTGTGACTAAACTACAATAATAAATACAAAATAAATGAATGATCTTATTAACTGTTGATCTTATTAACGTGTTTGAGACAGAAAAAGTAAAGCGTTATGTGATAAATTATGAATTTAAATATTCCCTTGATGGCTCTGCACGTCAGAATATTTCATAACCCCATCCTCGATAACCAGACGACTGACCATGCAAAAATGGGAGGAACCAATAAAAACCTAACTAGAACCCACATATAATATTGGAACTGAAAGAAAAATCCTGGACAACAACAAAGAAAAAATTTACTGTGAATTTAGCCATTCTCCTCTGAAATGGGCCAAAGTCATTTTTCTCGGCGTAAAACAACTCCTGATAAACAAACAACGAAAAGATTTCAGCATCACTCACGGTGAAAAGAGAAATAAAAAAATATACCAATAACATCAATTGTACCGAGGAAGGCTGTGAAGAAAGTAACATGGATCAAAGTTTTATTGAAAAACAAGTAAAACAATTTGATTGGTATCAAATTAGCACAAAAATTAAAGTATTCGCATGTAAAGTATTCGCGTAAGACGACGACATGTTGGTCCTTAGAAAGTTAAGTGATTATCTATACATATAAAAATTAAAATTATAAAACAAAGTCACTTTTTGTTTGCAAAGTGATTATGCTTTACTTTCCAATTATCATAATGAAACCAATCAAGTGATTATGCCAAAGTCAATTTTGGTCTGTTGTTAGAAAACACAGCCAAACACAGGCTGCCCAGTCGACTAATTTTTCCCAGTTATATCAAAACTAATTTTTATTATAATTTGCTCTATTAAAATAACGAAATTTGTTAACTTGATCTGCCCGGTTGACTAATTTGTCCCAGTTATGTCAAAACTAATTTTTATTATAATTTTCACTATTAAAGCATCGAAATTCGTTAACTTGATCTGCCCAGTCGACTAACTTCTCCCAGTTATATCAAAACTTATTTTTTATTATAATTTGCTATATTTTGTTAAACAGTCGGAAGATATGGAAATAACAACAAATTTTGCAAAATCAAAAAGCATGACATCAGCCTACGCTTTTTTCATGAAAGCTACAAGAGAAGAATTAAAGAAAAGTTCTTCTAGCATGTCTAACTCAGAGTTTTCTAAGCATGTTTCGGAAAAATGGAAAAGTCTATCTGTCGAAAATATGAAAACGTATGAAGAAATGGCATCCCGGGATTCGATTAGATACCAGGAAGAGATGGCCAACTATGCACTCTCCGATGGTGAGAAAGTGAGAGAAATCGAATCAAGAGATGACAACAAGCCGAAGGAGGTCTATGAAGAATTGAAACATTGTGATGATGACCAATTGAACCAAGAAGAGATGGTCAACAATAGTTACTCGAAAAAAAGAAAAAGACAGGCGAAAAATCACAACGCACCAAAGACTGCCTGGTTTCCATATGTCTATTTTGCAATGGAAGAAAGACCGAAAATTAAAGCGGAATTTCCGAAAATGCGCTTCACAGAAATAGCCAAAGAGTTGGGTAAGCGATGGAAAATATGCCCTAATAAAGAAATATTTGAAGCAATGGCTGCCAAGGACAAAGAAAAACATGAAATGGAGACAGTTGCATCTGATGAGTCTGCAGCAGTAAATCAAGCAGTTTCAAAAGATCCAAAAAATACAAAGGCATATAGAAATTTTGCAATTGAGGAAAGACCGAGAATAAAAGCAGAATTTCCAAATATGCCATTCACGGAAGTTGCGAAAGAATTGGGCAGGAGGTGGAAGGTATTCAAAGAGTTAGAAACTTCTGGAAAGTTAAAAGAAACAAAAACAAAGCATCCTGCTAAAAAACGAAAAATTGTAAAAGAGCATGATAATACAGATGATTAAGGAAAAATTTAGATGATTAATCTTTTGGTTTCAATCTTAAATTTAAAAATGTTCTAATTTTGTTTAATAATAAATGTTTGTTAACACAAAATGGTGAATTGTTCTTATTGTTGTTATATCTTGTCAAACGTCTTTCTTTTTATTCAGATTTTATTATCATACTAAAGTAACGCGTGTTGTTGATTTTAATTAAATTTAAACGAAGAAATCATAATTTATTCATCATAGAATAAAAAATTAAATAGCGATAATCATAAGTCCAAAAATTTTGGTCATGAATTATTTTCTATCTATTATCTACAATCAACTTACATTATTATTATCTACAGCTTAATTAATTTTAACAGTATATAAATTTTTTAATAATTTTTGTTGAATCATTTCACGCTAGTAAACGTTATCGGCATCATGTTTTATTCTGTGTCAACTCAAATGTATTGGTTTAACTTCTAATTTTTTACTAAATGGCTGTTGGACGCGTTCTCTGTTTCCGATTGTTTTTTCAGTTTAGTTTTTACCACTGAGAGTATCTTCAAATATGAATATTAAGTGTAATGTCGTGTTTCAATCAGGTAGGCAACAGTAGAAAAAATTTCAGACCCGGCGAACCCAAATAAAACTGAGAAAATTTATTTGAATTTTCAAAATGATGATAATAATCTATTTTTGTTGTATGTATTAGAAACTATTTCATCTAGAGAAGAAGTGAACGAACTAACGAACGAATGTAAATTAAATTAATCAAATCAGATTTATTGACTAGAAGTGTAATCAAACTCAATGAATGAAAGTGTCTGTCACGTTAAATGACTAATGGATGAACGAGGAGAAATTCTGTGATTGATTGATTGCTACATGACGCATTGACTAATTTGATAACTTTGACCATCTCATATGATCATTTACACACACACACACACACACACACACACACACACACACATACACACACACACACACCACACGCACAAACACAAACATTCACACACGCTCATATTCACAAACACAGGCAATCATACACACACATTTATATACACAAACACGTTTAACTGCGTCAGTATACAAACTATATGACATGCAAATACGTTTAAAATATCGTGCCAAGCATACGGTTTTAACCACGGGAATGGTGGAATAACCATTAGTTATTTTTATCATTTTATATTTGTTATCTTTATTTGTCTAATGATTGTAAACCATAAAAAGTTAATGATGATGATAGAATGAATTAGTGAAAGAAAAAATGAACGAATGAACATATAGTTGATGAACAAACAAATAAACAAACCTTTAAATAAATAATTCCGTTGGACAGTACAAAAAAAATTAAATTTAAAAATAATTGATTGATAGTATTGAAATGATCGGATCAGCAAGCAATAAATGATCGAGTGTTG